CCTTCTTTCCAAAGAAAGTTTTCATAAACGTAGGCAATGTTATGTATTGGACTGTCACGCATAACCAAGTTTGTAGTATCCATGCGAATTTCCATCTTCATACAACCATAAATAGAAGCAGCCCAGTAGAAGATAAGAATAAAAAGCAGTCCCAGACGAGTCTATAAAGAGATTAGGGCAACAATTATCTTTGGTTCTGGCTCTCTGGGAGTTTAGCTTGCACCTGCCACATTTTTAAGATTCTGCAATACTTGGCCACAATTCCATCAGGGTCTGCAGGATAGACTGAGCGCATAGATAGCTGTGCAGTTACCTGAATGAAAGATACACTGTAAGTAAGAGCCTCTTACGGTAAATGCAAGAAGACTTGAGTGTTCTCTTTTTATCGTGGCCCTTATCTCGAGCGCTGAAGAGACTTATCTCACCACACCTCCTAACTTTCTAGGAATTGTTCCTGAGTTTTCCATGCAATCAACAATTCATATGTGATTTTAAATTTGGAATTAAAAATTTGGTTTCTTTCGTAATTTGGTATGTTTTTAAGACAAAATACGTTGTTTTATTTATCCTAGAAAATAAATGCTGTGAAAATCTGATAAGATGGGCTAGAAAATGGGATGCAACCCACTATTTCTTTCTCCTTAGGCAAATTCTCAATAGGAGGTTTTTCTGGGTTCAAAATCCGCATTTCTTCATACACCAATGCAGCAACGAAGAAGGTGAGCTAAATGATTATGTTAGCGTTACTCTGTAAAGACCGCCAGGAAACGACACAGAAACAGACTTGATATATGAAGTCAATAGCTACTCCAACACAAGTGTATAGACAAAATAGAGAGATGGCTGGCGTTGGTGTCAATATGCCTATCCCAAAGGAAAGGATATTAGTGACAGATGTTACAGTTATTGATGGACCTGCTTCTTCCATTGTTTCAGCTGTAATGGAATAGTAGTTTTTACCTTTCTTTGAAATATATCTAATGCAGTCATTTAAGAAAAATATTGAATCGTGACACTTTAAGATTTTAAGATTCGTGATAGTTTGCTGTAACTATGCTCGTCTTGCACCGTAAATGAAAGCTCTCAGAAGCACGGGTTTATGAGCTTCTACCATGCTTAATACTTTAACCATTATATAAAGTTTTCGGACTTCAAGAGAATGAGAATGCAAAATTTACTAAAAATATTGAGAGATCATATTTTCCCCTATACTCAGCAAAATTTCAGAATTTTCGTTCTGCAAGTGCGCCCGTTTTAATAGCGGTGGTTTGCAAAAACAAATAATTACAAGAGATAAAACCTACCTATCTGCTCCTCAAGTGGCCTTCGTTTATCAGTTTTACGCATAGCATGGATAATGATAAATACATCATCAGAGCCAACACCAATAATCAAGAAAGGCATAACAAGTGTGATTGAGTTGAAAGGGAAACCCAGAAGAAACATCAGGCAGAACCTATGCATTTCCTCTTTTTCACTTGAGTAAGTTTTTTTTTGAATGTGGACTTACGTGGTGCCAACGGCCATCAATGGA